GGTGATCGTACAGGCTTAAGGATTTTGATTTACTTCGATTAACTCGAAACTGGGTGCCTTTGCAGAAATCATCAAGTATTTTGTGCAGATGTTGAACCTCGTCAGCGCGAGTGAAAACTGTTAGGTCGTCAGCATACGCAACACTTCGTGTTTCAAGTTTACTAAAATAAGTTGATTCTCGTATTTGATTTAACAGTGGCTCGAGAGCTAAGATAAAAAGCAGAGCTGATAATGGGCATCCTTGTCGGACTCCTCGTTTCTGTTTGATTTCTCTTGAATTAAACCCATTTATTGCAACTGATGACTTAGAGTTGCAGTACAAGCTTTCTATTAGTGATATCAATTGGCTTGGGCAGCCAATTTTTCGTAGAATTTGGAACATATATTTCCGATCGACCCTATCAAAAGCTTTAGAAAAGTCGATTGTTGAAGCTACCACTTTGGGTTTTGATTTGCGGAGTCTTAATCGGATTTCAAGGATGGCTTGATGTATGGATCTATTGGGCAAATATGCATGTTGCTCGTTCTCAATCACTTCACTTAAAACTGGCTTAAGCCTTCCAGCTATTACATGTGACAGGATTTTCTGGTCTGTGTTTATCAAGCTGATCGGCCTATAGTCATTCGGCAGAAGACTCTCAGTTTCTTTCGGCAACAGTTTGATTATGGCTTTGTTGAAGGACTTCGGCATTTTAGCAAAACTAAAAGCAGATTGAAACAATGGTAAAAGTATATTGGCAAAAGAGAAGGCATGTTGTTGATATAATTCAGATGTAAGTCCGTCAGGACCTGGGCTCGTTCCTTTTTTTAGTTTACTTATTGCCATTTCAATTTCTTCCATTTGAAGTGGAGCATCAAGACTTTCGATGCTCTTGTCCGACAATTTTTTGTGAAAACTATTGAGAATCTCATACCGATCTATGTCCATCACTTGCTCTTCTTTATAGAGGTTTTCGTAGAACGATGTTGTTTCTTCCAATATCCGCTGTGTTTTAGTTGTAATATCCCCAGTTTGAAGTTTCATTTTTCTGATGACTGTTTTAGGTTGCTGTTGCCTAGCCCATCTTTTAATTTCTTTGGGGTTGCCGTCCTGAAGCTACATTATTTTGAATGCACGTCAAAATTTGTCGACACTCTTCTTGTTCTATTTTTCGCAGTTGACATTCGAGTTCAACTCTTTTTTGATTGCTTATATTCAAATGTTCAATTTGGCATTCTAACATTTGTTTGTATTTTGTTTCTAGTCTGATTTTCTGTATTGAGATGTTGCGTAGGAACTCACGTAATTCTTGCTTACTTACATCATAGTTTTCAATTGACCAATTTTCAAGACGTTTTTCTATTGTTTTTTTGTTATTTGGCAGAATGTTGTTATTCAATCTCCAGATACCTGGACCCATGTCCATTTGAGGTTCTTGAAAAGTTTGGTAACATAAGATCTGGTGATCACTCAAGGTTGTTTCGTACATTTGGAATGTATCATCCGCCGTGAGAGTATTCGAAAAAATAAAGTCTATTCGGGTGCGTGTTCCAGTTCTGGAGCATTTATGTGTAACTTTATCTTTTTCTAGCTCAACTGCTGTGTCTTTAAGGCAATGTCTGTTCAAAATGGGTTCTACTCTTTTGAATATGGTAACATGTTTTTTCTTGAATACCTTTGCAGTCGAGACTATTTGTGCTTGATGATCTCTCTTGTGATTCGGGAAAGAATTCAAGTCTCCAACAAGAATAAGTGTGTCTGACTCATTTATATCATTTAATTCTGTCATCGCTTCCGATATTAGTTGGCAACTTTTGACATAATTTGCTGTTCTGACATACGCATTCACTACATATGTTCGTTGCTGGGGAAAATGAATTAGCTGGGACGCCCTGTTTTCTGCGATAACGGTTGCTTTCATAGACTTTGGCCAGAGTGTAAGTAGTCCTCCACTACGACCAATTGATGATGTATGAGCAGACTGAAGTTTGTAGTACTCTAGAGTTGTTCTCAACTTATGACTGATATCCGTAGTTTGGGTTTCTTGTAAACAAATTATGAAGTTTGGGTCATAGTTGAGATGGGTTACTTTATTCATTATGTGAATAAGTTTTTCGGGACAATCAAGCCCTCGGCAATTCCAGGTTAGGACTTTCATTGACTTCTTTCGACAGTTCCGACTCGCTATTCAAGCCTTTTTCGTCGGATGATTTGACCGTTTTTTGTCTGATACGACTTCTCGTGATTGTTCCCAGAGACTCAAACTGGGTTTCATTTTCGTTGCTGTAGTTATTTGGTTTGGTTTCAGTTTGGGGGAGTTTCTGCTTTCTCAGCTCGTATGCTCTTCGATTTACATTTCTTTTCACCACTTGCGAGAAATTGGTATTGGTATCGTAGCTGATTTCGCCGTCTGATTGTACTTCTTGGCTGACTTCTTTTTCGGATTGCTTTGGTTTCTTTTCATGATATTCGCTTTCTTTGCTTTTCATTAGGCGTTGATCAGACGGTTCTTTCTGATTATTTTTTGACGACCGAAACTTTTGGTAGCAATAGCTTACGTGATGGCCTTTGGCCCTTCTACCGGCTTTTTCACAGTGTTCGCAGATTAACAATGAGGGGATGTTGCAGAAAAACTGCGTTCCAAATAGTTCAAAGGTCTGCACACAACTTGTTTCGGCCCATGAGGATAATAGTTCTTCTTGTTTTTCGTCTTCGATAAGCATACGACATGATGCTCTTCCGGTGTATACACAGCCACCGTCTTCATCGTTCGTTGCAATCGTCTCTTTCTGGATCATAGTGGTTTGTTTCATCATATCTGGAAGTTTCACTGCTTGCAACACATCTTCGTCATCGAAGAAATGCGCTAGGTTTCTAAAATACATGTTGATTTCTTTAGGGTAAGCATCTATGACGCGTTCTTTAGGTCCCCAAGCAACTATATGCTTGTCTCTGATGTTTATTCCATTCAGCTTAAGTGCTTGTACTTCGTTGTATATCGATTGGGGGGCAAGCACTCGAACCGCTCTGAGTTTCTTGCCATCTTTTTTCGGAATTGTGGTTTTCAGAATGGTAAGATTGTTTCGACATTCGCGCGGGAGGCCTTTACGAATATTTGATACAGCTTCGGCAAATAGTTCTTCTTGTTTTGCTTCGTTCTCGAATATTTCTTTGGTAAAAGGTAAAACAAAATCGACAGTAATCGGATTTTTGTTTTGGTTGTTTCCTAAGTTTTGGACTGGTCCTGGTCTCGAAACCAAGCTTTCCGTAAGTTTTTGGGCAAAAGTTGGCTCTGGGGTACTAATTTCCCCTTCAATTATCAATTCAGTTGTCGATTCGGACATTTTTTCTACGCTTTTCCTTTTATTTCTAAGAAAATAACGTTAAAATGCAGAACCTGCACTAATTTTTGAGTGAACACTGGTAAGTGCCTGTAAATTTACGTTAATGTGCGTTAAATTACGCTACTAATTTATGCTGAGTTTACAGGATGACCAAATATATGTTTCCCCTGATAACAATAAAGCAAGAAATTATGTAACAAAGTTAGTTTATAAACGATAATTCTTTAACCGATAATTCTTAAACGATAATTCTTTAGAAACGATATTTCTGTTAACACTGGAAGACTTTTGGAGTAAAACGTAAGATAAACTCCAGTTTGTTGAAATATTTTTGTATTCAAGTTGCTTTAGTAGCTGCAATTTGGTCAAAAGTCCGCCTCCTGATAGCTGCTACGCCGCAACGCTGATTAAAGTGAAAGGTTGAGATGAAAAAATTGTATACATCATTACTTTTGTTGAGCCTTCCAATGATTGGAATCTGACCCGCGTATCACATGTGTTTCATTCCAAATGGTCAATTGTAGCTTTATACCGAGGCAATCGCTCATAAAACTTTAAATTTATTTCCTGTCCATGCTTTCTGTTTGCGTTGTTTTTTTGGAACTTTCTGCATTTTGCTGAGGCGACTGGCTTTCACGTGTTTCATTAATATGCTTGTCAATTTCGATATCTTTAGCCGTTTTTTGGTAATTGTAGATCTGACTGGTATTCACTTGTTTCCTTAAAATAATCCGTATTATTAAAGAATCTCAAAATAAAAGTTGTGGTGGATAAAAAAATCGTATGTTTGCATCTTCGTTCGAGTCCCTTCTCAAAGTTCATTTTGCGCTTGTTATTCAAATTTGCCAAACCCACCATTTTCAGTGGATTCGGAAAAAGAATGAAAATTCAAGTTGACCCCAAGCCCGGAATTGCGACCATTTTTTTAGTAAAAGGCGAATTATGTTTTCCAATTGCGAAGAAGCAGAAAGAAGTGCTGGCAGTGTTTTTTGAGAATGATTTCTGGAGAAAAACAACCCAAACGCAATTTTGCAAGCTTACTTATTAGTTTTAGCGCTTTTTAGCAAAACTAATTGAAAAACTAGATTTTGTTCGAAGCAGGGAAAACAAGTCTCGCGTAAAAAAAAGTCCTGTTCAGCTGTTAAAACAAATGCTAGACATCATATTTCAATGAAAAACAACATCAGCACGAAGTAAATTTCTTTCAACTCATTATGTACACATGCAAATGTCACTGATTTCAGCGTGCGTTTGAAAAAAAAGAGTAGGCTCACCTTAAACCTAAGCCCGGAAATCTTTTTTATGTAAATAATGTATTCACTAATTTGTTGAAACTTTCGTACTTTTTTCTAACAGTTTTCTGTCAGAATTTTCCGTCTGTCAATTTATTTCCCGTCAATGCTTTCTATTTGCGGTGTTTTTTTGGAACTTTCTGCATTTTGCTGAAGCGACTGGCTTTCACGTGTTTCATTAATATGCTTGTCGTTTTCGATATCTTTAGCCGTTTTTTGGTAATTGTAGAACTGATTGGCATTCACTTGTTTTCATTAAAAAGTTTTGTATTATTAAAGCATCTCAAAATAAACGTTGTGGTGGACAAAAAAAATCGTATGTTTGCATCTTTGTTCGAGTCCCTTCTCAAAGTTGATTTTGCACATGTTATTCAAATTTGGAAAACCCACCATTTGCAGTGGGTTCGGAAAAAGAATGAAAACTCAAGTTGACCCCAAGCCCGGAATTCTTTAGTAAAAGGCGAAAGAATTTCACGTTTCGGATTGGAGTCTAGAGTAGTTACAACTACACATAGATTGTCCCTCATACCATCGACTGAAATAATTACAAATGAAATAAGTCTACGAAACTTAAAATTACAAAAAGTACTATAGTCGAAAGTCATTTCAAATGAAAAAAGCTTTCACATAGTTTGTTCAATAAACGCTTCAAAAGATCATCAATCTGCAACAAAGTTACCATTCGCATTTGTGAAATGCATAGTTTAAATACAATTTAAAGTCAAAAATCATGTTTGGCGTGAATTGGCATCTATCAAACACGACAGAGATTAGTATTCATATCTGTGCATGTTTACGTGCAAATATACCGAATGGTTGTTGTAAGAAAGTTTTGTTCACACAAAAAAGTTCAAATTCCTCTTTTCAATATCACAATTCAACCAATCGAATTGGTCGTTCTTTTGAAAGTGAAAGGGGCAAACAGGCGAGGAAATTTAGATGCCAGATATGTTTTGATTCGAGGTCGCGCTTTCATGTTTTCAGGACCCTGCGGGGTCAACTAATACATGTTTCGGGAATAATGATCTCGGTGTTTGCGGAAAGACTTAACTGATTATGTCAAAGTTTTTCTGTATACCACTCCCGCACCGCACCCATATAGCAGAGTTTGAAGGTGTGTAAGCTAAAATCAAGCGGCATATGCGTTTTCGAGGTGATAATTTTTAATTGACTCACTGTCGCATTTGGCGGTGGATGATGCGCCTATACTCTGGAAGTCCAGGTTGCCGACCATCTCGAAGAATGGACTGATCACGATGCCCCACACTATTCCGAAGAGGGGCTTGTTCTGTCCTGGGTACATGAGTGCCTGGACCGCGATTCCATAGCCCACTATGACGAAGGACAGTATGGACATGAAGATGATGATGTCGTTCAGCATCTTGAAGCACATTTCCACCAGGGGACCTGGAAGTATTACAGGAGTCTGAGAGACATACAACAATTTTGGAATCAAGTTAACATGTGCCCATCTTTTGCCCTGTTTTTTTTTTTTAAATTATTTTGAAAATATGATCAGAATGCTTGAATCTGATTGGTTGAAATTTTTACTAGCGAAAAAAATCTAGAGCTCATATGATCATGATGCTGCTCAAATCTGATTGGTTGAAATTATTTCAAGTGAAAAAAAATCTGGAGCTCAATCAGCAATTTTGTTAACTTTGGGTCGCAGATTAGATTAGTCTCTTTAGCAGATTGACTCTTGACGAGGATGTTAGTTTGATTGGACTTGATACCTAGTCTGTCGCTGAGTGCCATGTACGCGAGTACTTTGACGATGTAGCACATGAGTGAAAACACATAAAGTAAGTGAGTCACATCCAGGGCATCCTTACTGTCATAGCCCAAACTCCTCACTATCACCCCACAGAGGAACAGAAGCAGCACAGCGAAGTCCACTCGGGACCATGACTCAACCTACATAGGGAAGTAAAATGATTTGTCAATCACTATTAGCTGAACCTTGTGCTCGATTCTGATTCAAAATCAGGTATCCTTTTCTCCCACTACCCCCCCCCCCCCACCACACACACACACACACACACACACACACACACAAAACGATTTGGAGGAGAGGATGTTACCTTGCTTTCAAATTATTATCTCGGTCATAATGTCATCTGTTTCTGTTAGTTGATTTTGAGAAGCTTGATAAAATCCATTTTTTGATTTCGTTCGGATTGCCATTTTGATTTTCATTGGCGTGGCATTTCATGTATTGCAAATTTTCAGTGCATTTTTTACTCTACCTTATTTAGAAGGAGTTAGTCATAATTGAGGGGTTTATTGCATGCTGTATTTTCCCTTCTAGATGAGTCATGTAATTTCTTTCAATGGTTGCTTTTTTATGCTGATAGTTCGAAGGGTCTCTCGAAGTAATGTCTGTCTTCGTCATATGAATCGGGCTGGTAGCAAGAAACTCTGGTTTCAGTTAGTCGTTTGTTGTTCTTCAGCCTCCATGTAGCTGGACCTATTTCCGTTTGCTGGTTTCCGGTTATATTTTGTATTATTTCATGGTCGTTGAAAGTAATATAAAATTGATAGAACTGATCGTATTCCTCATTTTTAGAAAAGAAATTATAGTAGGGACGAGCTGTTGTCCCTATTTTCTATTTTCTTGCATGGATGGGAATTGTAGAAATATCGTGGGGGCGTCTCCTTTAAGGACGTTTTCACTCAAACGCTTTACTCAACAGCCACAGAGTTTCTCCTCTTTTTACCGTGTAATAGGGGCGGACACTAAGGCACGATATTATCCACAATTCCGAGAGGGTTATGTTGGTGGTCAGACTAAATCGGCCGATCAAAGGATCGCGCAATTGGTTAATGCTCTTTTCGATTCTCCTCTTGCGTTTCTAGCTGATTCAGCAAATAGTAGACACAATAAGTAAACTCTCAATCGCAAAGGAAAAAAAGGCAATTTAAAAGGCCCTTAATGAGCTAACTACTAGTTAACGAGACTTTTGTAACGAAGCCTCCGTTGCGTTCCGCTCAAACGCAATTAACTCCCTTGTCAGTTTTTGCTTGACTCGATTTCAAACGCGCAACTCACTCACACAATTAATTCAACCCGGTATTAAACTCGGATTCAAGCGCAGCTCGCACACACAACTAATGCAACCCAGTACTAAACTCGGGTTCAAATCAGCCAAACTAATTAACTAACAACCGTGAGACACAACTAGCCTCACCTCAAGCAATAGCATCCTCCATGAACAAACTATTCGTCTCGGCTTCAATCGTTCTCTCTCTAACTGAGAACCAACCGTTCGCTCTCTTCGCGTAATTTTTCTGACTCTCTACGGCTATCCGGTACCCTCCGGTTCCTTATAAATATATACACTTAGTTTTAGTCAAGTCACGCCATTTCCTATCAGTCCTGTTATCCGCTTAAATCACCCTTTCGCACATGTTTTATGGCTACATCCCTCCCCTGTCAACACTACCTTGAGCCAAGTTCGGTTTCTTGTATCAACTTCTTCAAGCGTATTAGATACCCGGTATGCGGCAGGTGTCACAATTAGACTAAACACACAAATGTAAAACAAATCCAATTAACTAATTCTTGAACTCTAGCCCTGAAGTTCAACTCAACCTCTGAATCATACTCTGCTTACTCAGCGACCCTCCGAAGGTCTTTATTTTGTAAGTCTTCACGGGGTAGGTGGAAACCCTTTCCATGGGTACCTAAATCATTCCAAGCATCTAAATTTCTATCTGTACTCTACTTAAATCCCGAGCTTCTAGCTATCAAAGGAATGTAGTTTGTCTATTAGAGATCATTTAGGCCAAAAAGTCACCTCCGGGGAGCCAAGCAATATTCTCGTTCGTTGATGTTTTAAAGGCGACGTAACTCCCATGCCACTGTCCTACTACTGCCAATTTCCTCTGGCACTATTTTTCTGTAGTCTAGTTCAATTGCTATTAACAGATCATTCGCCAATCTAGCTGAAGATAATACTTACCAAGTCCATTTTGAATTATTTTTACTACTTCAAGATTGCAAGCAATGTAGAAGCCATTTTGCCATCAGTTTCTGATTCAATTCCCAAAAACAAATTTTCCTACCAAATATTTGTAAGTTGACCAATTCCTATTTCCGGAGAGTTGGCGCTAGGAAAATGCCACTTCCCTCTGTTAATACCGGGGGTTTCTATGCAATTGTGGGGTCATAGTGCTCAAAAGTCAATTTAAAGTCACCAGGGTCACCCGGGTTCAAACTTTCTGGGACAAGCTCCGTGTCTCATGAGGGTCCTAAATGCCAAGTTTCATACATTTCTTACTAATATTTTCCAGATTATCCCATTAAAGGTCCATTTTTGTTTTTCTTCCGGAGGGTTTTTACTTGCTGGAGTACTTTTTCCGGCGGTGGGGACCAGTGTCTATTACCGCTTAAAATCAGTATGTCCTTGCTCATTAATCAGCGTAAATTGCCTGATGTGGGGGTCCGGGGGTCTGGGGTTCTAAGTTTAAGCTTCCCTCAACAAGACCTACAGCATACTAAAAATCGAGTCCAATACTGCCGCTAGTTGCCGGGTCCTGAATGTCCCCAATTTACACTTCAGGGGACTATTATCACTTGCCTCCTATGTGTCTGATCTGAGGTGTCACTGCTTCAAAATAAAACAACTACGAAAAACAAAAAAACGTATCCATCCATCAATCACTACAATAAACAATCTGAAAACTAAAAACTCTCTAAGCCCCGGATGGCTGCAATCAGTTTAAAACTAGTATTTATAACCAATTAGATTCTTGATAAAACTATCTCTATAAATTATTCTTTACTAAACAATCATTGTCCATAACTAACACTGACATTTATTTGTAATGTTGAAACTACTTGTAGTTTCAGCACCAGAACAATTTGAATATAACTTAGAAGACAATTGTTCTCCTTTGGAACAAGTTCCAGATATCTAGCCGCAAATACCAGCATAGACTAGATCTTTTGAGACTAGGAGATATAAGAGTAAGATTAAGATCTTTATTAGACTAGAAGTTGCACGAACCTAACCGGCAGAAAATAAGATAGCGTGACGAACAGCCGATGTACGTTATCTGAAATTACTCTATGATTAAGCTACTCCAGGCATAAACTCACTTCTGCTTTTAACCGAAAGAAGATTGAAATTTAACTCTTAACTCTGAGCAGCACAAAAATTAGTTGTTGATATTTCAGTTTTTTTTCGATCTCTGTTGTGTCAAAGTTGGTTCAACAGATTTTTGATATCTGATGCCGTTTGCATAATGCATACTGCACTACATAACTTGCCCTCATCTAAGTGTAGTTTGTCAATTGTTCCTTGGCTGCATTATTCTGGCTCATCAACTGAGTTACAAAAAGGAACAAACATGAGCAAAGGCTTTTTCCAGTACTTGTAGAGGACTATAAAAAAGAACAAAAGTGAAAGTGTTGTTTACTCTGAAACTTTTCTCAAAACATCTTCTCTTAAATCATCTCTAACACTGCACCCTGAGTTTTATAACATTAGCTTCGTGAGTTCCCATTTTTTGGGTGGGGGTGCCGATTTTGTTGTTTTTCTTTTTTTCAAGCATAGGAGGGATTAAATCGTCGAAGATTAAACTACTTTGGGCTCCACCCTCTGTTTGTTGTACTACTTACATTAAAGATTAATCAATCTGACGCTCAGGTTACTATGGCATGTATTAAATTAGAATCGCCAAGTATACATGTATTTTTCCGGGTCTTTTGATTTTTCCAACATCTTCCAGTAGAAGCAGGCGTTAGGCATTCCAGTTTTGTGTATTAAATTATGTAGATCTTTCTATATGATAGCGGCGACTTAGAAGCGAATCTGCCTTTTGACTAACTTTGTAGGCACCCTGAAGACTATGCCGGAGTATACTCTAGCAAAATTGCAACATTAATGTTAATAATCATTTCCAGAGTTAGAAACCCACCGTTTTCGAAGGGTTCAGAAAAAGAGTACGAACTCAAGTTCACCCCAAGCCCGGAATTCTTTAGTAAAAGGCGAAAGAATTTCACGTTCAGGATTGGAGTCTAGAGTACTTATAATATCCTTATGCGCAATTAGTTTTTTCTATCTACTTAAATTACAAGAGAGCATACGTCAGAATTGTATAGAGACTGCAGTTTTTATCGAAATATTACAACTTTCAAACATTGTTCCATTGAAAGTTCAAAATTGGAAAATTGATAGCAAGCAATTGTCCGAAAAATAGATCCCAAGTAAGCAGTGAAATTGCGTAGCTTAGGCGCATTTTGCTTCAGATACGATTATCTCGACAAATTATGCGATGAAAAATCTTGCGTAGCTAGCAGATTGCGTATTTGAAGAACATATCTTCACGTCATGTCAAACGTTAAAACAAAAACCAGCCATCCGTTTTTTTATTTGTTCGATTCTTGAATAGTTTTGTGGTAAACAAAAGTGCAAACACAAGAAAACTTTTGGCTCGCCGCTGCAATCGTACCCGCCCTAAAAATCACCAGTTTTTTCTGTTCAACTTTCAACCGCACTGCAAAAAATTGTTGAAAATTTGATTAAGTAAACGAAAAACTAATGATTTGAATAATTATTTGTATTCATACAATTCGCAGTTTTTGTCGAAATATTAGATGAAAAATATTGATGATTATATGAAGTATTATATGAAAAATATTGATGTAAATCGATTTCAAATCTACTTAAGTTGATCTAACAAAAAAAGTATCGCGTGCTGCAACTGTGATGAAGTTTTGCACAAATTTCAATGAATTTCAAAAACATTGGTCGTAAGGCGTTAACTTGTAAAAACTACTGAGTATGGCTGAAAACTGATGTTTGTGCGTGGAAGGGGTCAAAAAAGAGTGTGGAAGAGGGGGGGGGGGTACAATGCAGCTTTTTGAGTGAGGGGTGTGTGTGTGTGTGGGGGGGGGGGGGCAAAAAGAGGTATTAAGATGGTGCTTTACCTTATCGAGTGAGGATGCCTTTCGGAGGAGGTTGGAGTCGGACATGGACAGATAGTCTTTGATGATCTGAAGGTTGAGAATGAGACTCCAGCCAATCACAATACGCTCAACAATCGTGGGCCTCGATTCTATCTTTTGTAGGACCTAAGAAGACAAATTCACTTATCAAAAAATCATTGTAACTTAAATTAAGATCTAGGCAAAGGGATCATAGTTCAGAATCGTCAAATAAATAAGAAGCCCTTTTGTAGGCTATAGGCCTCAAAACAGAGAAAAAAATCACGAGTAATTGATTTTTCTGTTCAAACATACAGATTCTTCAGAATTGGACAAAATTTCGGCTTTCAAATTTAAACTATTACGGTTGAACACTTCATACAAAATGTTTCACGTGAGTATTGTATCATTAATGAAACATGTGAGTGATACCATATAAGAGAATAGTCCAATGAAGACTAGATTGGCTGCGAAGTGTAAGATGAAGGTGGTAACTGGCGCCTTGTAGAAGTCCCGCCATTTCGTATACACCCCCATCTTAGTGTCCTTTTTGCCTGCAACAGACCAAACTCATTTTTCCAGAGAACATTTATATAAAAAAAAACATAAAAAATTTGCAATAAAATATTAGGATCTTATTACAAGTCCTCCAAAATTACTGACTATGTTGACTATCCGCCTATTACAAAAAGGGAAGGTATAAGGTTAAAAAAAGCTAAGTCGTCATTGTTTTACTCACTTACAGGGATGATAACTTTTTAGTGGGTACTATAGGGTGGAATTCTTTAAAAAGAGCGAACTGTTAATCATTGAATTCTCGTTGATGGCGAAACGCTATTCATTCAGTTCCCACTATGTTCATAAATTTTACACAGAGGCGAAGCTGTGCTTCGCAAACACTAGCCAAAAAACGATAAAAAGTAGCCAAAAAACGATAAAAACGAGCCAAAAAACGATAAAAACGATAAAATACAAAATATACGACAAGCCTTGAAAAAAAACATGTGCTGTGACGAATTTGCTCTAACTACCAGGAGATTTAGAGTCCCCAGTTCTCTCATCTGCGGCCAAAGCCCTTGACAGTTTGCTAATATTAGCCACAAATAAAGCAGCTACATATGCTAACAACCGGCCTGAGCAATGCAGCGAAAGTGGCACCAAACACAAACAGACATTTATTTTGGAATGAAACAAATTGGGCATCCACAATAGTTTTGCATGTAATAAATTGGAAAGCGTTACGCCAATTTACCTATAAAAGATGCATTTCAAATATTGCATGAGACATTTTGAGTAAAAAAAACTTCCGCAATCGAGTTTTTATTATTGTATGGAAGAATATATAAAAATAACAAGGATAGTTGATTGCTATGCAAGTAGCAAAGAGTGGTTCGACCACATTCTTAAAACAACAACATCAAATCGGTGTCGTTTTTTGTGTTTTTGTACATTGTGTGATAAGAGAACTACACAAAAGCATTCGATGAGCAAAAAGCAAACGAAAAAACTATAATTTTGTACAATAAAATGCTAGACTTTTTTTCGAACATTTTTATATCACGAATGCTGTTCTAGCGTAATTGTTGAAGCAATGAAAACTCTAATGTTTTTCATGCAATAAAATCGAGTTTTTGTAAAATCAAGCCTAACTGACAAATTTTCATTTAATGAATGAAGGCTATTCTATGACTTTACTCACTCGATTTTAGATTGAAAACCAAAAATTTCATAAAATTTTGTCCGAATCACAAACTAAAGTCTTGTATCAGTCGGCCCAATCTGATGATTATTTGTGGTACCTGATTTTGCGGGGAAAACAGAAAAATTGAAACACACCCGAACACAAAGTATTTTGCCATTTTAAAAGCTGAGAACAAGACACTACGCGTTTAAAGTTTGTGATGCGTAAAACATTAGTAATTTAGGCATAATCGAAAAACAATGTCTTCCAAAAATCAAAACGAAAACAAATAAATCTAAAAATTTTTTAATTTTTGAAGAAAAAAAACCTATTAAATTTGCACAATAAAAACTTAGTTTTTTTTCAATTTTACAGATGGAGCAAGGAAAATTTATAGATGGAGCAATAAAAGCTCTTAAAATTTTCATTGAGTAAAATCAGGATTATTGTAAAATCAAGCCTGATTGACCAATTTTCATTTAACGAAGGGTACTCTATTGCTTTACTCGCTCGATTTTAGATTAAAATTTCAGAGCATTTTTTCTCAACACAGGAACGAATTTTTGTTCAAGTCACGGTTGAAAAAGCCTTAAACTACACCCAAAGACAAAGTTTTTCCCCATTTTTAATGCTCAGAGTTTTTAGGGAGGATTAAAGAAAAAATGATGGATACAAAACTTGAATGCAATTTGGGCAGATTATTTTGATGCAATTTTTCACGAAATTCAGGCATGGAAATTTTACCGTAAAATCGGGTATATTTTTAAGCTTTTTTAGTCAATCAAAAATTATGACATAAAACTGGTTCAGTCGCTGACCTAACAGTATAAAAGTGGGCTCTTTATAAAGCCCGACAGTTTTTAGGAAGGGCACTAAACTGACAACTTCAAAACGGCTGAAAATTGTTTTTAAACTAAAAATTATTTTTATAATAGCAAAAATGGCAAGTTTGGGTGATCAATCCAAAAAAAAACAAATATTTTTACAAAATTGAGAAGGTAAAAATCTTCGTAAATTTTGCTGAGCTAAACAGAGGTTTTTCTTGATATTTTTTCCATCAATTGAACAGTTCGGTTAAGCATTACTTTCGATTAAGTTGATCAACTTGAGAAAAACACACTTAAATTTATAGGTTTTTGACTTGTCCGTATATCTAAAATCTCATTATAACAGTCAAAAAAATGCTCTTACTTTTGGCTTTCTTCCAATCCTACTTTATTTTTTCTGAAATTCCTTATATCTAAAACGGTTTGTTGATGTTCTAAACTACAATAAAACGTGCCAATTTCAACTAGTGAACAAGTTTGAACACAAATATTTCCTTTTTTGTCAATTCCATCACTTTTTTGAAGCAAAAAGTAAGCCATAGACCTTAAAAAGCAGTCAAAGCTTTCAGGGCTTCAACTTGATTTGAGCAGTCTTGTTTAGAGGCGCGTTACGTGGTGGTACGACGTTTGTCAAACTTTACCTTTTTTGTCAATTCCATCACTTTTTTGAAGCAAAAAGTAAGCCATAGACCTTAAAAAGCAGTCAAAGCTTTCAGGGCTTCAACTTGATTTGAGCAGTCTTGTTTAGAGGCGCGTTACGTGGTGGTACGACGTTCACTTCGAGATCGTCAGATCGTGTACTCAAACCCCTGTCAGAGCAATAATAGTGTGTGAGGGTGAGCTCTCGCCTAATTTCTAGCTTCATGTTTACCACAGCCTGACCGATTACGGCTGCAATAGTGGTACCACGTGAAAATTCCAGGTTCAAAAACAACTGCCTTTAGCCGCAAAAATGAGCTTCGCTCACCAACATAACTCAGTCAGGTATGTGGGGAAATAAGAGAAACAGACAATGCTTAGACAGGCTGGATAGCCTTTCGTCTGCGAATCGCAGAAACCTCAATCATTATTGTTAATATGGGTGGGAAACTGAAAATGAGTCCTCAAATTAAGCGAGTACATGTTCCGTAGTTTAAAACTGAACCCACTGATTCTGGTGATGTCGTTCTTTTCGATTTTGGACCTTCGGATCTGTTCCAGTTCCTGCTTGAACCAGATCATGTAGCCAATGAGGGGAGGGAAGAAGGAGCAGATGACTAGTTGCCAGAACGGAGTCTGATTCGCAATACCCCCCATCCACCTGTCCTGCACAACAACAACAACAGCTACCCACATAGTTATCTTCATTAGAATCATCAGTAATAGAAACGGACTATGCTTAGACAAGCTGGATTGCCATTCATAGAATCTCTGGGAGTCGCAGAAACCACAATTATGACTATTAATTATTAATATCAAAGTGATGGTTTAAGTGGCGAGGAATGAACTCAGGGGGTTCTTCACTTCACCATATGAAAACTCCCATCCTTAGAATCACCGCATCCAAACCAACGCATCCATTTTAGAATCACCGACTAATCAAACTTCGACACTATACACTATATTTGGGGAGGGGAAAACCATTTTTTTGTTGTTCAGAAGCTTCGAAATTTGTCTACTTTTGTCAAAGTTGTTTTTGTCAAATTCAGCTATTTTGCCTACAAGTTTTACACGGGCGCTCTTTCATTTGAGTTTTTCCCGAGTATCTGTCTCGTTAAACAATTGTGATAATTCAACGTATTTAGTGGCTTTATTTTTTTTCGTTGGGTTATTTTTTTAGTGGCTTTAGTTTTTTTAGAACATGATGCGCTGTTTGTTTTTCTGACCTGTATGATTGATTGACAGGCGGATTGACTGATGAACTGGATGTTGCTCGTCATCTGGGCCACCTCTATTGCACTCCTCCCGCCCCAAGTCAGATGACTCGACTCCAAAATTCTAAAAAAATACAACTTTGTCCAAAAATAAAAGTTAAAATAATCATCGTTCTTGCCTTGAAATTAGCTATAGTACTTAACTTGAAATTAGCCATCCTACTGCTCGAACTTGATTTTTTCTCTTTCTCGTCTATTAAGTTTTGTCGATTTAAGGTGTACAATACGACAATAAAGAAAAATTTTGCAAACAGATGAAGTTTTGGTCACTTTTTGGTAAGATTGGGATCCACGGATTGGCAAGTGTTCAGCAGACCGACTGCTCTGTCTTGAAACGTCTGGCGCAAACTCTTCGCCTAGAGGCAAAACGAAATATGTTAGATTCTGGATAAAATACTTCTGTTGTTTAATTGTGAAACGAGAAACATTTGGAATACAAAACTTTTCTCCATATTTCTCGTTTTAATGTCGTCCGAGAATAAAAATTTGTTTCCTAGGCGCCTTGTTCCAAGGATAGCCGACTGATGTAAAAAAAGTCCAGATTTTTTGACCATTTATCTTGGCAAGAAAAGTTATTAAAAACTTATAGATTCATTTTCGAAAAAAACTTTTGGAGTTAAAAGAACTGAAAAATTATTACTTTTAAAGTGAAATGGTTGATCAGTAACTAAAGACACTAAATTAAGACACAATTTTGTCCCCCTTAGGCTAAAATTGGTTCCAAATACCAAAAAAAGTGTCTGAGAATGATATTCGGAACAGAAACTACCGACCACTTCTAGTTCCTCCGTGTGGGTCTTGATGTGGAAAGTGTTGAGGATGGAGGAGCAGAAGGCGGCGGCAGTGAGACTCCCGCAGATCTTACTGGGCATCCTCTCCCACCACAACATCGCCAGGTCATACCTACAATACATACAGTACATACTCAGACACATCAACAACATTTAAACTGCATCATCAACAGAAGTCAATTTGTAGATAATATTTATAAAACTCATTATTCTGGGCGCATTTTATTCAGGGTTTTTTACCCAAGAAATGAAAAAGTTGGTTACTTTCCCAAAATGAAAGCCACGACGGTAATTTTGAAAGCACGACGGTAATTTTGCACGACGGTGACAATGAACTATTGGTCAAAAGTGGTCAAACTCTTCAAAGAATGTTTTGAATCTAATAACGCCAAATGAAGAAATATAGAAGTAACTCAAGTATGAGAAACTATGACGCCGAAAAGAAATCTTGGTTTATTTTCATGATTAACCTGAGGAACAAGACGGAGTATAGGAAGAGAGCCTTTTCTGGTGCCAGGAAAATGATTTCTTCTCCCTTGTAGAGGGAGGGACACACTTTGGAGAGGGAGCTACTGGAGCTCTTACTTCTTTTCTTCTCCTTTTGTCGCTCACTGCGTGGGTTCTCCACTTTGTCCTTGAATCAATTTCGAAAAGTTTGAAACAAAAATGTTATTAAATATGACAGTATTTGAGTCACTATAATAAAGATGGTCCCTGAAGAAGATTTACTGCGCCTGTCTTAAAAAAAAAACAGATTTTAAAATAGTTTTGTTGTATTTTTTAATTTTTCATCACAATTATGCGACTCGTGGCCTTTTCTAGAGTTCTTATTGCTTCATTTTACTGCATCTGAGTATTAGAAAATATATGCAAGTTTACTGACTTAATTGAACAGCTTGCTATTTAAATCGAAGACAGTTATCCTCGTAGGGAAGAGATCAGCATACAATTTACACTTATTTTTTTGGCCATTTTTCTGGGCTTGGTAAGGTTGCTTTACCCCCAAGAAACAAGCGAGGATCATTGGCCTCGAACATCCGACCTGTCGATTGATAGGTGGAGACGTAACCACTTCACCACTGATCCCCAAAGAAAAATTATCAGAAAAAAACTGGAAAAATCTGGGAAGTTTTTCGGCACGTATGTTCTCTCTTTTTGTCATCAATTCGAGCTCTTCTTTATGCAAAGATTTTTTCCTATGATATAAAATACCATTGATCCAAAGGTTACCTCCAAAGTTTAATAATGCTTCGGGAACCCTTGAAATTTTCCAGTTCAATCTAACATTTTTAACGTACAATACATTTTAGAAATTACAATACGTACAATACATTTCAAAAAGTAGTCAAAATGAACATCATTTTTCCCAGATTCTCATGTTTTTTTTTTCAATTTTCTTCCAAAAATGTCTGTTTTTCGAAAATAGATTGCTGCATGGAATAAAAGTTGGATGTTTTTTTGAAGACAATTCTTGTTCGGCATGAAAATTCGTTGTTTTTTTTCGACGATCAAGTCCTACATGACATACAACTCCTGCATGGTATAAACATTGTAAGCATATTTTAAGTTGCCATGCACACCTGTGTAATAAAGGGTCCTGGATTGTTCACTGTAGGTTGGCATGTAGTGTAGGTTGGCATGTAGTCGAAATTAAGGTCATCGTGCAGCCATTTGATCACACTCTCGATGCTGTGGTGAGAGTTGTCGGAACCTCCGTGCTGCTCCAGTCCACTCATCAGGAAACAGTTCCGATTGTCGTCCAAAGTCTTCTGGTACATGTCATCAACCACCGCCTAAAAAAAAAGAAATAAAAACACAAAATTGCTGAAAGATGTCCCGCACGGTAAGTTCAACTGTTTGTTGAAAAGTTTTTGACAATCAACTTTAGTTTTTGAAAAAATGCCCCCCCCCCCCGACATAAATTGATGGGGGTCGTGATATTGTTAGATCTGTGTAGAATTGGTGGTTCTATTGTAAGTTCGAATTATAGCAAAGATTGCATGGACCGCATCACCTTGGGTTTATAGAGGTTGAAAATTGCACGCTACGACAGTTTGATGGCCCAGTTGGGTGATTATTAGCATAACGTGACGAGTCAGAAGAATCCAAATTGAGAGAAAGTTCAGTTTTCAACGTCATTACCGATACTTTCCGAAAAACCAACATTTAAGTATTTATATACGTGTAGGAATTTCCTCGACACTCACAGGCCCCTATATAGCACTAATAAGGAGCTGCAAGAAATCTGTACACAAGGAGGCAACAACTTCCCGAGATCTTGGAAAATCTATCTGTTGCCCATGTATTAAGCTAAGCTAAAAAAAATCTAGGAACCCTAGACATCACAGAGATCGAATCTGAAATATCTTGATGTCATCGTCCTCCAGAGCCCTAATAAAAAGCCTGCAAGAGCCTGCAGGAGGTTACAACTTCCCGAGCTCTCGAAAAATCAAACTGTGTCCATGTATTAAGATAGGCTATAAAAGTTTAAAGGGAAACCCGTCAGTACAGCAATGAGAACTGAAAAATTTTAATGCCCATCATCTTTATGGCTCTATTAAGGAACACATACAATAATAGTAGAACAGGAGATAAAAATTCACATATATACCGCGCTGACAAATTCCTGTCAGCGCTGCAAATAGTCCCCGTCCCTGACATCCGGAATCCGTCTCTCGACCCCCACTAAACGCAGGGAGCCAACATTTGGGATATGAAGAAAAACGGCTAGATTTTTTATTCGGTTTGTGGCCACTTAGTGCTTTCTGTAGTTAGATTTATATCAATCTGTTAAACAACTATCGATTTCTTAGTTTGACGTCATGGTATGTTTCTGGAGCAGAGCCGATGTCTAAAGTTTTAGCAATATAGTGTCTAAAATATGCATTTTGATGTCTTCGACAAAAAACAGTTAAGTAGCGCTCAGCAGTTTTCTAGACAGTTATATTAAGTCAACACGAAGATAAAATTGATAGTGTACTTGAAAAAATGCATAAGGTTTCGGTTGGAACAACTGAATTGAACTAAATTCGACAGTTGAATTAAGAAGCTTCAAATGATTGCTTATACGAATCAAATTCATGACGACGACATCATGATCCACTCTAGACTCCAGTCCTGAACGTAAACTTTATTCGCCTTTGACTAAAAAATTCGGGGCTCGGGTTCAACTTGAGTTTATTCTCTTTTGCCGAATCCACTGATGTCGGTGGGCTTACCATCATCTTTAATTATTGGAAGCAATTGCAAAAGATTTCCATCTCCGTTCTGTGGTAGTTTTTTTCACACTTACAGAACAAGTCAAAATAAAACACTTACAAAAAACTCTGGAAAAAACTTTATAGCTGCATTTACTTAAAAAGTTAATTTCTTACTTTAACAGCATAGAAAAATCTGAATTTTTTAATTCTAATGAAAACTCGGAATTTCGAAAATTCACCGTTGGTATTAGATGCTCATGCCACAGATAATTAAGTTCTTTTAGAATTTTGATAAAACCGCCAATTTTTGTGTGGACGCCGCTCAACTCGCTGAAATCCAAAAAATTGTTGACAGTTTTTTTGAAGAAACTGTGAGAACTAGACAGGCGTTTATAGGGGTCGCGTTTAAAGGCGTACAAATACGGAGGAGAAAATCACCAAAAAACGCATGGAAAAAATAGCAAGGAAAACATGCGAAAAGCCACAAAAAAGACCCAAAAACATTCGAACAAAAATAAAAAACTACAGACGGGAAAGTTCTGATATCCACACAACTCACCGCCATGCAGACTAACACGTTTAGGAAAACAGGGCTATGTTGGCGTATTTAGAAATCGAACAGCCAAACGCTTCGCGACACCCAATGTTCAAGGAAGATGAGGAAACAGGGTTGTCAAAAAAACTGACAAGAAAGGAGCAAAAAGGACAACTACAAGATATCCCTAAAAAATTAAGAGGAAATAACAAACAGGCAACAGAACAGAAAGAAGACGCACACAAAAAACAACAGCGAGAGGATTGCAACTTCGCGCGGGGGGAGACCACAACGACACGGAACAACAGTACGACAATGGAGAAGCCTGAGCCAAAACAATCAGTGACATCATGCGAGGACTGGTCTTCAACTTCGGAAAATACAGCAGCAGCTCCTAAACGACCAGGCGTGAAAAAGACGCCACTCCAACTACCCCGCATATCGGCAGAAGCGACTCCAAACTCCATCAGGAATCGGTAATTGGCTCTTGCAAGGAACTAGAGAACCCAGCACCTAAAAACGCGGTTGAAGAAGAAGAAGTTCGCTATTCATTCGCCCGACAAACAGACAGTGGGGAATAATTCCAATAATAAACGCCTAATAGACGAAATGTGCTTCAACAAAAAATTGCCCGAGTTTCAGGCGTGCGTAAAAATCCCTGAGGCAACCGAACCCAAACCGATCAATAAAAAAATCGACGTTGTTAATTTATTGTCTCCAACTTTCAGCCGTAATCGAGAGAACCAAAACCCGAGTGAAATTTTATTCGTTTTAGACACGGAGAATAAGAAAGAAACATGAGCAAAAAAGAAGGAAGCGGACGAAGCCAACATTACCGAGGAAGACGAGAAGCAACATGAAGTAGACGAAACAAAACAAGAAGCAGAGACAGAAGACAAAGAAGCGGAGGACAAAGAAACAGCTAAACGTCCAGAAGAAAAAAAAAGGATTAAAGTTCCACTGGGACTATAAAATTCCAGTCTCAAAGGGATTTAAAAACTTTAGTCCCACGAGATATTCTGATATAATCGAGAGCGCGCATTATTAATTTACCGGCAAGATGGCATCTGCGAAAAAAATTTTGCCTAAGATTTCATGTTTTTCAAAAACTGTCGGTTTTCGGCAAAAATGAAAAATTCTGCAAGTCCAAAAACTCACGATTTATGTGCATTAAGATCGGCCTTCAAATTTTCACAAATACAAAAAATTGGATAGTTTGAAAAAACCATGAAATTAAGTTATGATTAAGGATCTTGAACTGTCAATTTTTCGTTTGATTTACCTTGGTCAAATAAGTTTTGAGGTCAATCTTGTCGGCGAGGAATGCGACGAAGTCGACCCTGTCTTCAATCATTGACTTCGAGAAGAAGTGTCCGAGTAGCTTTTTGTTCTCCCTCTCCTTCTTGTTCGTCTCTGCCTCGAAGATGTCCTTCAGCATGTCTGGTCTGTCCCAAAGGAGAGCAAAGTCTAGTTGCTGTGCAAACTAAAACGGATAACATGAGGCTTTTTATTGAGTTATAACAGCCAAAATCATTGAAGTTTAGACGATTGTTTGCACGTATGTGAACTCTTTTTTTTTGCGGTTCATCTGCGAATTCAAGATACTCTAAATCTCAGCCGTCCGAAAAAATCGTTACGCTGAGTCTGTATGATAAATCACTTTTTATGCTGAGTATTATCTGTAAAAAACGAATTTTAATCGATTTCAATGCAAAGTTTTTGGGTAGGGGTACGGAAATATCCTTAGAGATGATGACCTTCTTGTTTAAATTTTGACAAAGAACGGCCGATAACTTGAATTTTTAAGTCACATGTTTAAAAAATAATCAAAATGGGTATGATAGAAGTGTTATAACATAATAATACATGGAAAAAATGTTAATATTAATTTATGGTTGGGCAACAAATAATATGTTATGATAGGGCGACAACAGGCGACGTTTCGTAATGGGCGACAATTCCTAACAAGCGACGATTCATACCAAGCAAAATTTCGTTTCAAGGTTTTGCCTGCTGTTGAATAATTAAAACAAACACATGAAAGCCTTAAAAATCTGGAAGGAAACAAAGAACTCAGAAATTAAAGTTAAAAGCTAGACCTTGTAGTATAAACATAACTCGGTTGTTTTGTCAGTTTTTACTATCTCGGACAATCTTAATAGCACTTTCTCGTATTTGGCTGTCTTCGTTGTTTTTACTCCGGCTTTTGTTCGCACGAGCTTTTTCTGAGCCGAGCTTTGTTCTCGCCAAATGGTTGATTGTTAAGGCATTTGAACTTTAGCTCTGAATCACATTTATTCAAGTTTCAGCAAATTTGCCAGCGTTTTTTGGAGGTATCCCCAGCTCCTCTACATAAATTGCTCGCGGGGGTTCTAATGGCTTTCTCTTTGATATCAAGTTTGACTTTTAAGCACGTTTGAATTAAACTGTTGTTTTTTGTAAGAAGTAAAAACTTTGAAATTTCCCCAGCAAACAAAAAACAGCATGCTTCAAAAAACATGATCCACAAATAGTAAATTTAGTTTGGCTCAACAAATTCCCATAGTCAACACAGAAACGCTCGCCCTTGGTTCATGCTCTTTTACTTTTTTCGTGATTCAAAATTGAACCTATTATTTTAGGGATTTCTACAACAATTTGCAGGGACGTCAACAACATCGCCATGTTTGTGGCCAGTAACTTTAATGTGTCGAACTTGGCAAAACAATTCTCTTCCAAGAAGAAGTTTCTGCTTGCCGCCTTCGATGATGGTGTAATTTAGGGGCATTAGTGAACAAATTTGTTTTCTACAAACTGGTAGAAGAACGAGTGAACTTCAACAAAATTTGAAGAAGATTAGTCACAATCAATGTAAGAAGATCCATGCTGATAGTATTAATAGTTTCAAATTACTGTTTTTATAATAACTAAAAAAAATCAATGAAAAACGTTGGCAAAGCAAGATTCAACTAAGCGTTAAGTTTTAGTCCCCCACCTCAGGTTTTTGATGCAGTTAGCAAGTGGATTACTAATTTATAATCCCCACAACACTTCCAATTAACAATTAAGGGGCAATTTCTATCCCCCATATCAGCAATTAAATGTGACGAATCGTCGCTTGTTACCAATTGTTACCCTTCAAAAAGTTACGAATCGTCGCTTATTACGAATTGTCGCAAGTTACAAATTGTCAGATGTAAAAAAATTGTCACCTCAAGCTTAATCATTTATGCGAATTTATCGAATTATAATCGCATTCACCCTGTCATCTTGACCGCTTGATTACTCTCAGATACTGCGGTTCCTACCTTTGGTATCAATTTTTGACAAAAAATTTTAGCTGGCTCTCCCTAAAGTATTCTAATGGCACAATCAGCGCTAAAATTTAATATTTTTGAAGAAGCGCGCGCCGAAAAAACAGGTTTTTGGAAAGCTACCTAGAACCAGCCTACATTGACCCATGAATTGAAAATTTTTAAGTTTTGAAAACAAACAACATGAAAATTTGATAATGCTAAGAATTTGAAATAGTTTATTGATGCTTACATTCAAAGAGCCAATATTCAACAATGTGCTCAAGACGGCTTTATCCAGGTCGCTGGTGGTTGCGTTTTCATCCTGGTCCAACTGGAAAACCCTAATTTGGTTTCGATACTGAAGACACTCTTTGACCATTGCCACGTTTTCATCTAGATTACCCCCTCTCAGGAACTGAAGTGTGATATTTTTTAGATCAGAAGAGATCTGTTCTGGGTCGTCTGTTCCGTGCTCGTCCAGTTTCTCACACGCTGCTTCTAGCAGAGAAGCACCCCGTCCGGAACCTCCGATTACAACACAGGGCGCTCCCGTTTTGAGCGAATTTCTCACTGTTAATAGACAGCTAGGTGAAAGCCAGCAACCCAGTTACAAATGATTGCTCACGCTTTTTATACCGTGCAATTTTTTTCATATCGAAATAGTTAGCATATGTAAGAAAAAAGAGATTACGACTTAGATTTTCAGTAATGATAAAAAAAAACTGGATTTTTGATATTTCATTGAAAACTAATAAAAATGAACAATGTGGAATTTTAGACAGAAGGTATGAAAACCAATAAAATTTTTTAAAAAAAGTTATAAAACTTATAATATAAAAAAACTTATAATATATGAAAATTATATGAAACTTAAACGTATTTAAAATAACATAATAACATTTATACCAATGTAATATTATTAAAAAATAAATTATAAAACTTATAATAAAGGTTTTTATTACTTAACATATTTAAGGAGAGATAATTTAATTGCCTGTATCAACAGATCCCGGTCCTCCTTCGACTATTACACTGACGATAGGAATGCCCATTTCAACTTCAGCATCTTCATTATCTCCCCCTCCCCCTCCCCCGCCTCCATTCTCCTGCCCCTCAGCCATTTCCTCTGTTTTGATGCCGTATTCAGCTGAGGGTTGTAGTTCGAGAGGTATGGGGGTGGAGGCGCATAGTTCCTTCTCCAGTAGTCCCCGCAATGTTTGTTCCCGGCCGAAGAAACCTAACGGGACACTCAATTGAAACTAGAGCGCACAAGTCGATCTTACAGATTATGTCAAAACTTCCAAAATCCCTATGATATCATCACCTGCATTTGTTCAAAAAAAAATTCAATAAACTTTTAAAACAAATACTCGTGGTCTCAAAATTTTCATTTTGAGTCAAGGAACAAGTGAAAAACTAACTTTTGAATTAGATAAATTTTTTTCGAGAGCCAATTGTCCTATTAGAAAAGCGACACAATGAAAATGATTGGAAGCAGGTCAACACTGCTGCCAGATCTAATCTAAAAGGACCAACCTTTGGTACCTTTAAAATATAGGAAAGTTCGAAACGTTGATAGTTTAAAGTGATTTATTCATTTATAGTTTTTCCCATCTGAAATTGTTTCTTTTCTTTTGTCAGTATACCTGTGGATCCGTCGTCTACGAGTACGAAGTGTGTGTGGTATGGGTTCAGTCCAATCTGACCAGGGTCTGCCGAATACCTCCTTGTGAAGGGTGCCTTCTCCCCCAGTCCAGGCACCAGTAGTCTGTGATTCGCAATCGAACCCCAGGTGGCAACACCTGATGCCGAAGACAATAATTAAATATCTATTTAAAACATTAAAAATTAATGAATGTCATTTGTTGCGATTACTTCACGAAATAGGCTATGTATGATTTTTTACTCAACTTTGACAATCACAAGGAATCACAAGGAAAGCTCGTACGGTGTCAAATGTAGCGTCATTGTAAGGTCATATTGGTCGTGATTGCGTTTGTTTTTAATTTAAAAAGTTTTCTCAGAGTCGAGAAAAACTGTCCTCAAGATTTTCAGTTTTCAGATTAAATTTGATGAGAGACTGACACCCCCAGTTAATTTTACCACAGTTTTAACGCAATTTTACCTGTTATCAGGGGCAAATTTGAATTTCCTTGAAAGGAATGCAGACTTTCGTTAAAAAACTATAATCTTTATTGATTTTTGTTGTCTCATTGAGCACCAAATTGATTTTCCGAGCAATTGCAGAACCAATTTTTGAAGAAAAAAAACAGGCCAAAAAGGCCATTTTTGGCACTTTTTCGAAGGGTTTGTTCTAAAAAAAATTGCTTTTACAGTCGTTCGGCTCCCTCTTCCTAAATCCGCCCCTGGCTATTTTTTTTTGTTATTATTTCTTTTCCTAACAGTTTTCAAAGCTATTAAGTTCTGCTTCATTAAAAGTTTACTGTATGGAACGCCACAATATTTTTGGTTGTTTTTTGAACAATTTTGTTTTATTTTTGAATTACCATTCTGCAAACACTGTGGTCGGAGCATTCTGTTCTGCTTAAGGGCGTTTGTTCAATCAAGGAATTACACGTATAAAACAATTGATTTTACTCTTCAAAATAATAAGCGGAGAAAATGCAAATGACAAAGCGAACAATTTTATTTCAAATCAAAAATTTGACAAATCAATTGATACCACTTAAAACAAGAATAACTACCATTCAAAAAAAAAATGAATATTTCTAACGAAGTTTTAATTGAGACTTAAAACTCTAGAGAAAACATAATGCAATAAATAAAAAAATGGTTGATTACGACTACTTCCACAAATTGTTTTGATTAAAAAATCTTAAGATATTTAGAAAAATTATGTATTGAATCATAAGCCGTCCAAAAACAAATGTAATAAATGAAACAAAGCAATTAAAATTTCAAAAAATCAGGTCTGATTTGTTTTGATTTTATGCTTTACAAAATAATTTTAGAAGTGAACTATGAGATTTCCAATATCTATTTTTTAAAATTTGTAATTTTTTGCTGGACAAATACTTTATACTTATAGGTTAACCGATCAGGTCTAGACGCTTGCTTGTTATTAACAGGTTGAATTAATTTCTGCGCTTGCTCAAGTTGGTGCCCATTCAATAATAGTTTTTCTTTATTGTTGGATTATTGCACAACTTGGAACAAATTTGTTAAAGTATAACTATGTTTTCGTTTCTTTAGTTTATCTACGACACCTTGAATTCTAAATCTTCACTTAAAAGTCCTCATTTGGGTTACATGGTTTTGATTATGGTTGGACAACTCTCATGCTTCAAGCTTTTTGATGTTTTTCAAGATGAATCAAATGCTGAAAACGATTTGTTGATAAGTTTTTACGTTGTTGGAAACTATATCTTGATTTGCATATAGTATGCTCTTGATTCCAGTTATGACATCGTCCACCCACCTATCATGGCCAGTTTTTCTCCCCCCTCGTGGGCTCCCGTGCTGACAGAGTGGTCCTTTACTGCGTCCCCACAGATCTTCATGATTCCCGCGTCAGTGCCCCCTGTTATGGTCCAAACGTCCTTAGTAGTGGCCAACTCGTAGATTCCAGCCTACACATGCAAAGAGAAGTGTTTAATCGAAATCTTTTGTTTTAGGAAATTTCGCAGCTGCTGAAAAAAATCAACTCCTGGTGCAGATAATTGTTTACTTAAGACAATTTTTCAATTTTTTTATTAATTTCAATTTATTCAATTTATTTGAGTTCTCTTTGTTTAAATTTTCTTTAATATTAATTACCCAAAAGCTTAAAGAAAATTAAAATCCAGGGGCGGATCTAGGATTTTCTCGAGGGGGCGGATTTTCAAAAATTTTCAAAAATTTGTTTGTTATTTTTTCGGTCGAGCAAATTGATTTTCCAAGTTCTCCCTAAGCACTAAAAAAGCCCTGTTTCGGCCAATTTTTCTGCGCCGCAGAATCGGTGTTTTCAGGCACTTTTTGGAAAATTTTGTCCAAAAAATCGCATTTTTCGGCGCGAGTTCACCCCACAAAATTAGTATACATTGGCACCGAAGCCGCCTTTGGAAAATTTTTAGTGTCTGTCACCAAAAATGAAGTTAAAATCCCTACATTTAAAATTAAAAAATATTTGCAGATGTGCGAAATCCTTAAATAATTCTTTTTTTTTCAAAGGTATTGATAATTCTTATAATTTGAAGCTCAAAAAACTTCGAAGAGGTCCGCATTTTTTGAATAAAAAATCTGAAATGAGTTTAGAATTGGGCGATGAGAAAAGACAACGCGAACCGAGTCAATCAAAAGTAAGCAACGATTAGCGTTATGTATTTAATTGACCTTAAGCTCGTCCAGGTCATCTTTCTGCATGTTGAAGTCGAATGCTCCCCCAGTCATGGATATGATGAGGCTGGGCTGGTCCAATTGCCACAGGTGTCTGAGGAAGCGCACCAGCACCGCCACGTCCACATCACACCCCACACGCACAAACTTACTCGTTTGGATGCCCACGTCTGATAACAAGGACTAATTTGGCTACTAAACACTGCCGTGAGCAATGTTTTTTTTGACAGGGGGAGAAAATAACTAAATAACATTTAAAAAAATGGAAGTTTTTAGGGCCAACCAATTTAAAATTACGCGCTTTGCCAAAACGCAAGAAACACCATATTTAGCCAAATTATCAGTTAATTTACGCTACTGAATCTCAATGACCTAAATTGATGACCTTTAAAAAAATCATTAATCATGGAAAGTATATTTTCGATCATTGTTAATGAAAAATACGTGTAGTCAAAATAGGCTCCAAAATGACGAATTTGAAAACTATTCACTGTGATTTTCCGGGGATCAGTCCTCGGGCCTCTACTGTTCATTTTAATGATAAATGATTCACCAACAATTTCAAACTCAGTGAACACATATTTATACGCTGATGATATAGCAGTGAAGCAAAAAGAACAAAACTTACACCAATGCAATGAGGAGTTATCAAAAATAAGAAATTGATTGAAAATCATTAAGCTAACTCTGAACATAGAAAGAACAATAAGCATAAATTTCAATAGGCAAAAAAATAATCATAGGAATAGACAATATAAAAATAGGAACTGATGATTGGGCATTCACACGGGCGCAAAATTAGATTTCAAATTTCATATTCACTTTCTCGTCAAAGAATGAAGAATTTTTGTGTGTGATGAAACCTACAAGATATGCTCAGTGAAAGAAATGAAATATATACGAGCCATTCCAAACTTTAGAAAAGCTTTTACGGAAGGATTTAAAAACTGAAATCCTAAAAAGCTCAATTTTGGATTCGGAGATTGAGATGTTGAAACATAAAACAGTTTAAAAATCAAACCTACGAATAATTTCACTGGTAAAAATCCTAAAAAATAGGTGTACGGATAAGGAAACTATTCAATTTTATTCAAAAATTTATTGAAGATTTTGCTCATACAGTCAGCAATCTTAATGATACACCACAAATAATGAAGAACTGACAGATTTTTTTTCTAAAAGGGGGTGTTGAAGGGTTTGGAAAACTGACAGTATTTTACAGTTGAAACTTCTTAGTACTTCTAAAAAATTGTACTGCTTAATTAAGGCAGCACCTGATTACGCTTATCGGGCCTTTTGATGTCCTTGCATATAAGAATTTTGAAAATTGACAAATGTCTTTTGAATAATCTTTGATATGAAAACAATTTATTATGATTATTATTGTAATGAGATTGTCTCTAAATATAATAATAAGAACTTGAGACCTGGATAAGCATAAGCAAAAATTTCAACCCGCGCTATTCAATAGAATATGACCAGTTTTTTTCGAAAGTTAGCTTGTAACTTCATTTGTTTCTCACAAAAACGACTCCGAAATTTGTAAACCGAAATAGTGTAACCATAAAATTTTCTGATTTTCTATAGTATGATTATTATTTTAAGAAAACTTTTTATTGCCAGGCCAAACTTTTTCTTAAGTTACCTTCCACATTGAACTCAAGTGTGCCGTAGCAGTCCAGTGGTTTGTTAGTGGTGCAAGTCTCGCTGGTCCATTTGGACCCCTTGTTCTGTTGTGCCTCGGTGGAGTGGTAGTTGAAGATGAGGCCGCACTGGCACTTGTTGGAGTCCTGGTCCGTAGGACAGAAGGCTGAACACTCTTTATGGTGCAGTTTATCCACTGAAAGCAGAGTCAAGCAAATAACAAGGATAGCCGGTTACTATGTAAGCCGCACATAATGAATCAAACACATTCTTAAAAAAAAACATTTTTTCAATTTGGTGTCGGTTTTTGTGCGTGGTGTGAAAAAAGGTTCTGAACGAGGACAGCATAAAACTTTCAATGGTCGGACGAAACAATATTAATAAACTATTTTCAGGCTCATAATCAGAAAGATACAAAATTTTTTGTGCAATTCATAACCCAGTTTCAAGCCTCAGAAAACATCGTTTCGTTAGATCAAAAAGAGAGATAAGGGTTCAGGTCAAGAGAAACTATTTTTCAATCAATGAGGAACAAATTGAGAATTGGATTCAGAAAAATTTAGATTAGTAAAACGGGGGAGCACTTTTGAGCCTAGAAGTCGAGTTCGTTTCGCTTACTTGTTTTTAACACATTTTATAGTTTGAACAGTGCTTGAGTGAAGCAGATTTGTAACGTGAGTTTGAAAACTAAATGAATCGTTTGAGATAAATGAAATTAGTTATTTTTCGTGGGAATGCTTTTGGACGTTTTTTGAGTTGTCTGTCCAAGGAGATGGTATGATAATTGAGGGTACTTACAAATCGCTTGGCGTTTGAGTTTCCCGAAAATATAGGTAGCTTTCGCTACTCCCGTGAATACTGTTGCCATAATAATTAATCTAACTCATAATCTCTCAAAACTCGAGATGTTGTCAAAACTTATTTTAAGCTGAAAAATTTTCAGAATAACAGGCACTTCTATGAAATGTTTGTTTTGTTCTTGTTGTTAATTTGCTTTACATACATGCTGGTATACTACTGTCTTTATATAGACCTGCAGTGACCACAAAAACGTCATACAAACTACGCTCGAGAGCAAAAATTGATAATTTTGATAGCTTGAAAATTAAGATCCAACTGTGCTTAATACAAAAGAAAGCGTTCACTGAGTTTTGCGACGAGATTTTAAGCTGTTTTCGCGACGAGATTCTAGCTCAATTTGAGTCAAGCCTAACTTTAAATTTAATGCGTCCGCAAAACTTCTAATGGAGCTAAGTCGTGTTTATGAAATTTTTTTGTTAACCAGATATATGAGTACTGACAGAAAAAGGATGTTTCCGGGGCAAAAAAAGCCTTGCCAGCTCATATATAACATTTCTCGAAATTGAACCAAGAAATTCTTCGGATTGAAAAAAATCCAACCCTAATCAAAAAATGGCCAAAAGATGTGACTGAGGGTGAGTTTTGATTCCAGGTACCTCTAAGCAATCTCATAGATGACCGATTGTGATACCGGGTTGCCCACCACAGAAATTAATGCCCAACCATACACAACCATGCATCCATGATTTGGATGGAAAATGACTAGTCGCGTATGCGTAGCACAAATATTTGTTTCGACCCGCACAGAAATTTCATCCATAATTTTTGATTATAATGGATGTGTAGTGACAAAATATTGGACAATATAATCGTTTATAGATGCCAGTTTTGAAACTTACATCCATTTTTATTGTATAACCAATTTTTTGCATGATTAATAGTCCATTATAACCCATTTTTTCCACTTTAATTGATTTTTTCTCAACCCTGAGAATCGATTAAAAAAATGTTGTTTCTTGCTCAAAAATCGTTTACTTAGCTTGTTTCACTTTTTTGCAAAACTATGACAAATCAAAGATAAATTTTGAACTGAATATGACACAAAGTGAAAACGGAAAAAGTTTTAACGAAACCAAAAACAAAAATTTCAACATATTGTCTGCAATAATATTCTATTTAAGGAAAACACATCCAGAAACACATTCGACTACGTTGAATGAAAAGTCAAAACAGTTTTTGAGCCAAAAATTTTGTTGTCATGAAAACTTTGAACTGTGAGATCTATTCTCAGATTCTTAACGTTTTGTTCAATCCGGAGGAAAGCATACAAATTATGGTTTCCTCGAACGACCAAAAAACAGTCGAGTAAGCCAAAAAATATAAATGCCAAAATCATTTAGGCCAAAAAATTATTTACTCTAAAAACATCGAAAAAAAGAAATTATACGAAGTCAAGGTTATTAGAATTAAAAATTGCAGGAGAAAATGAAAACTGTATTCAGCAACAAAAATCTAAGATATGGAACCCCAGCCGAAAAAACATCAGCAGACAAATATTCAGCCGACAGTTTTTTGAAACGAAGAATTTCACGTTTGAATTAAAAAACAGATCCTGGCCAAATTCGAACCCAAAAATTTTGCCTCCAGACTAAGTGTGCCGAAAGCGCTCAAAAATTTGAATTCTTTTTGAACTAAAATACCAAAGGATTCAAGTGATACTGTAAAATGGATGTGTAGTGACAAAATTATAATGGATGTGTAGTGACAAAATATTGGACAATATAATCGTTTATAGATGCCAGTTTTGAAACTTACATCCATGTTTATTGTATAACCAATTTTTTGCGTGATGAATAGTCCATTATAACCCATTTTTTCCACAATAATCGATTTTCTCTCAACCCTGAGAATCGAAAAAAAATGTTGTTTTTTGCTCAAAAATCGTTTACTTAGCTTGTTTCACTTTTTTTTGCAAAACTATGACAAATCAAAGATAAATTTTGAACTAAATATGACCCAAAGTGAAAACGGAAAAAGTTTCAATGAAACCAAAAACAAAAAATTTCAACATATTGTCTGCAATAATATTCTATTTACGGAAAACACATCCAGAAACACATTCGACTACGTTGAATGAAAAGTCAAAAACAGTTTTTGAGACAAAAATTTTGTTGTCATGAAAACTTTGAACTGTGAATTCTATTCTCAGATTCTTAACGTTTTGTGCAATCCGGAGGAAAGCATACAAATTATGGTTTCCTCGAACGACCTAAAAACAGTCGAGTAAGCCAAAAAATATAAATGCCAAAATCATTTAGGCCAAAAAATTCTTTACTCTAAAAAAATCGAAAAAAAAGAAATTACACAAAGTCAAGGTTCTTAGAATTAAAAATTGTAGGCGAAAATGAAAACTGTATTCAGCAACAAAAATCTAAGATATGGAACCCCAGCCGAAAAAACATAAGCAGACAAATATTCAGCCGACAGTTTTTTGAAACGAAGATTTTCCCGTTTGAATTAAAAAATAGGTCCTGGCCAAATTCGAATCCAAAAACTTTGCCTCCAGACTAAGTGTGCCGAAAGCGCTCAAAGATTTGAATTCTTTTTGAACTAAATTACCAAAGGATTCAAGTGATCCTGTAAAACAAGCTGTTAACTCGAAAAAAGTATGTATTCCGATTTGATAACGCGGTGCAATCAAAATACTCCGATTTTGACTTCCGCCGCGCGGTGCACTCAAAATGAGATTAGAAAATGTCCACCCTAATTTTTAGTTTTTCCTGCTCTACGAGATTGATCGGAATAAAAATCTTTTCTGGCGATTTTAAATGTTTCTTCATTTCAATTTTTTCAATTTATTATGGACAGAATAATCAATTTTAAAGGCATAGCGGCCAGCTAATCTTGTCTTCCTTAGCTGGAGATTCAAACGCAATTAATCAAAGCCGAAGATTAAAACTTGTTAATTGTGAACATTCGATAAATGAGATTTGAGAACCAAACAGTGTAAGGAGATGCCAATTCCAAAGAAGGTCCCATTTTTCACTCAATTTTTTTTGAAGCTACCTTGATTGCCCAGCGCACTACATTGGACGAGCGGGATCGCGTAGGAAAATACCAATTTAACCAAAAAAGTTGCCGCCAGTAGCTTACAAAAACTTGGAAGTCAGATCTGAGCTTCTTAAAATCTTGCCTATTTCAGATCTTGTGCAGACAAGGTCCATGTTTCGTTTGGACATGGACATGTCTGAAACAAGACTGAGACAGGTGTGTATTTTGTCAAAAATGCAGACCTGCTCAAGGCCGGATTCAGACCTGGAACATACATGGGTGTGTTGTAGCAAGTTTTTCTAGATATAATTTTTAATTGTTTTTGGCGCAATCCACTGAGCATAATCAAAGGTATTCTCATAAGTCTAAGTTTTCTTTTCAGCTAACCCAATTTTTCCTTAGCAATTTTTTTTGCTGCCAAAAGTTGCTAATTACTGTGCCATGCTAAAGTCAGCCCAAATCTAAAGTTATTATAGTCTCAAAAATTTTTGAATCAATAAAATCGATTGTTAACATGGAATTTTTTCAGAAGCCGAAGACTAAAATCTGAAACGGACAGTTTGCGCACAGTTTGGCCTCACAATACGGACAGTTAGCGCACAGTTTTGCCTCACAATGAAATTTTTAAGGCAGCCGATCAAAAATTGAGGTCGAAAGACAGTACAAAAGGGAAGACCTACGGACAGTTTGCGCACAGTTTGGCCTCACAATGAAATTTTTAAGGCAGCCGATCAAAAATTGAGGTCGAAAGACAGTACAAAAGGGAAGACCTGGTGGCGAGGGCGCCGAATCCCTGGAAGGAAAGCGTGTGTAACCCCTGTCCCTTCTAAATCCACCCCTCTCCCCTGTCCTTAATTTTAATTTTGCATATCAGACTCTATTTAAGACTCTATTTTTGGAAGACCAATAAAGAAAATTTTGTAGGGTGCATCAATATACACTACTTGTGATGGGGAGCACCAGAAACCCATTTATAAGTCCAAAAATTTTTTAAAATAGGTTATTTGAAATTTTGATCGAAAAAACTTATATTTTCAAAAAAATGATTTCCAAAAAATCATTGTTCATAATAGATTCGGTGGTTAAGAAGAGCTTAAAAATTGGCCTTTTTGTAGAGCTCCATACGGAGCAGATTTTGTAGCACGTTTATTGATTGTTCTATCTGAGTTCAAATTGTCATCTTTTGTACTATATTTACCATGGGAATTTACGATGTCTCCGTTTGAGAATTTCAAACACAAGAAACTACGAATACAAAGCACATCACATAGCGTAGCACAAACATTGAAAGATGTTTGCGAAGTTGGTCAAAGGGTTATATTATAGTATAAAACTTTGAAGATTTCAATATTCAATAGAGTGAATGTTTAGACAACTTCTTACGTCAGCAGTAGTTAACTCTCGTAGAAGCCAATATTGAACATCATTGAAATTTTTGTAAATTGTAACCCGATTATTCATCATTGCAATAGATAAAATAATCATTTTGGTTTTCATTTTGGGGCCTAAAGAACAAATACAGAATAGGATAAAAATGTCGATGCTCTATTTTTGGACAATCATTTTGGATAATTTTTGACAAAAACAACAAAACTTCTACAAAAAAATGGATTTTTTTGTCTTCGCAGAAAAACATTCGATTATTTTTGCAGCTCATGATCACAGATGTTATCGCCGTATTTTGAATAAAAGATCGTTTTGAGCATACGCGAAGGTCCAAAAAATTGTGCAAACTCGCATTCACAAATTTTGGAACTTCGAATCTTCGAACCTGGATGAAAGGATCATGTCATCCATTTCGCACATTACACATTCGCCTTTTAAATTTAAAAATAAACGAAAAGAGAGGTATTACACTAAATTTGAAGGAGGCCTCTTTTGATAATTATTAATGGCCTCAAAATTCACCGAGTCTCAGGGAACGAACAATCTGAAAGTAAATTTTAAAGCGTTTCTGGTCGTTCCATTTTACTCAACCTTAACTAACTGGTAATTCAAAGATACGACAGGAGTGCATGCATCTCCGAGAAACTGCTTTGTTTTTGGTGCCAAAATGTGTTGTTGTTTCTTCCGATGCTTCTGTCCCAAAACAGAAGAAGACACGAGGGATCAGGAGATCACAAAGCAGATAGAAGCGGATAAAGTCAGGGAAGAAAGGATTCTTAATCTGCTCATGTTAGGTTAGTTGAGATAAACAAGTAACTCGAGGTAAGTGTGTTTCCCGCGTTGAGATGTTCGACTTATGTTTCGATTCGACTGAATTCGGTCGAACTCACGAATGTTGTTCAACCCAAAATTCGTGGTAGAAAACAGCCCTATCTGTCAAACATATTTTGATAAATAATCAAAAACATGATCGAAACAAAGTCTAATCGATCCGAACATAACCATTTTTGATCAAGTCGGTCAAATATATAGCCACTTTTGGTCGAGTCGTAGAAACGTAGCCATGTAGTTAATTTAGGTCCAGTCTGTCGAAACGCAGTATCATATGGTCCAGTATGATATCTTAAGTCGAGTTATCATATCTTAAATTGAAAACAGAGAAGCGAAGCTTAGCTTAAAATATTTGTGATGCAAAAAAAGCTATTAAGACGATTTATCCACAATGGAACAATGGAAAGCTTAGACCTTTTAACACTTTTAGAAACGAAGAATTGAAACCAATTCAATCATACAGAAATTTGAACAAGGAGGCCCTAGTTCGAAAGAACACACAAAAAACCTTTTATACTGAGATGAAAAAACTTTGAACTTACGATAGAAAAAATTAATCTAACTATTACATATTCCAAACACTACGAGGCCAAACTGTGCACTGGATAGGAGCACTATTTTGTGTCTGTTTGTTCCTGGATTCCAGAAACAAGTCCTTAAACATGTTAAAATTGTGTCGGAGCAATCAAAGGAAAAGAAAGAACAAAAGAAGAACACAGGGAACGTCCTTGTTGCGGAATCCGCTTACGTTTCTCAAAAAGCACAGTTATGCCTCCTAATGAATCAATGAAACTTCCAACGTTTTGAAATTTGCAGTGGCGTAAAAATAACTTAAAAACACCCAAATGAATGATATTCCCAAATAGAAATAAGCAAAAGTTTATCAAAAAATGACTGCTGTAAGAGTTTCTTTGCTTCGTTTGACTGCTGAAAGAGTTTCTTTGTTTCGTTTGACTGCTTTAAGAGCTTCGTTTGAGCAAGGCCTCGGTTTATGATAAAAAATATTAATACAACACAGAGGCAAAGCTGTGCTACGCAAACACTTGCGAGAACACGACCAAAAAGCAACTCTATTAAGTCAAATAAGAAAAAGGTAAAAATATGTCTCGAATTAGCAAAAACTCTGCTATATGTAGGATTCTAACCTACTGCAACCAAGAGATTTTCATTCTCACGCATTATCCACTCAGCCACACAAGCTTAACAATCGACAAACACTAGTCACAATTAAAACAGCGCCATATGCTAATAAACTGCAAATCTATTCGGCAAAAGTGGCACGAAATACAAATAGACTCAATGTTGCATTTAGGGATTCGGAATTCAATCAACTGAAGGCATCCACACTTACTTTGCTTGTAACAAATCGCAAAACATAAAGCCACATTATGTATAAATTATGCATCTCAACAAATTGCGAGATATAATGATTTAGAAAATTTCTAAAGTCGAGTTTTCATTAATATGTTGTTTGAAACAAATCACTTTTTTTCGTTCATGTGATGAAACAAAAATTTATCGACTGTGATAACTTATTACAAACCGAATGTCAAAGCACATGCTATAAAAAAGCTGAAAATTTACCCCAAAAGTGGCACCAATATTTGCGCTTCAGGTTGGAAAATGAGTAAGCTCGTACTAATACACTCGCTTCACAAGTGCAAACAAAAAACCAAGCTTGGAAAGAAGCAAAAACTTTTGTTATTTAAGCGGACAAAATTGGCAAAAATAAATCGGAATTATTTTTGAGAAAATTTCAAATTTAGAAAAAAATTGCATGCACAGGGCCGACTGAAAATTAAATCGACGGCGGATTGTCAATCATTGTTGGGTTCAAGAAAAACAACCTACATTTTTACAAACTTTGTAACGAAAACTATTTATTTGAAAAGTCTATTTCCGGTCACAACATCTGACAATGAAAGCATTTATTCCAGTAGTGTTCAAGCGTAAAAAACTAAACAGAAAAATTGCGTCAAGATTCATGTTTTTTAAAGGCTTATAGTATTTGTCTAACCCACTTGTGATTCATAAAAATCCAAACAAGGCGAAGGAATCAATAGTGCAAAATGAAAAAAAAAATCAGTGTTTTAAAAATTTTTGCAATCAGACAAAAAGCATGCTTTCACGTAATTTGATAATGGCAAGTATAAAATTTACTACAAGGTTCTATTCATTTCTTTTTGTAACTGAGTGGAAAATGAAAAAGTAGACCGAAAATAGTCATAAAATCCGATAACATGAATAAGTCTTGAAATTTAACTAAGTCTTCTATGATTTAACAATATTCATAAAATCCAACATCATGAATAAGTTTTGAAACATAACTAAAACTTCTGCCATTTCAATTACCGGCACCATTACAGACATACATCAAAATCATTTCAAATAATAGCAAAAATTGATTAAATTGCAAAAAAGTCAGAGCAGTGACGACTAAGCTGAACAAATATGAACCCAAACTATAGATCGACAATTATTACTGTCAAGCCGAATTTGTTAAGATTGTAAAAAAACAGGTCCTGGCCGGATTCAAAACGTCGACATTCGCAGTGCCAGGAATAGATGTTACTAGCAGACCAAATGGGCAAAATGATACGCTGAAATTGTATATATCATATATCAGGCGACAAAAAATTCAAGTTTTGTTAAGCAAGATTTTGACCAAAACAAGATCTCTGACTTGTATGTTGGAAATTTGATTTAGTGAAGTCTAATACAAATATAATGAAGTATATTGTAAGTATAATGAAAGGTTTGAAATAAAATTAATTTATGATTGAAATTGGTATTAAAAAAAGTAGGTCGATATTTTTCAGGAGCGGGAGAGTGTGGGAAAAGCACAGTTGTGAAACAGATGCGAATTATCTACGCAGACGGGTTCAGTGACATCGAAAGACTACAACACCTGCCCATAATCAGAGGAAACGCCATAAAGTCCATAGCTGTCATCCTGCACGCCATGAATACCCTCAACATCCAATTTGAGGACCGAAATTTAGATCCCTTGGCAGCTATGGTCCGCGAGTTCCAGAGCAATTATGACTTAACGATTAATTCGGAGATCCCAGGCCATATCGTGGATGCGGTAGAAAAAATATGGTCAGATCCCAACTTAAAGGAAAGGACCAAAATTAAGCTTACAGTTTCAGAAGTTTTGTGCTAAATATCACAAAGAAACTTCAACAAGACTGCTCGTATCAGGGCGAAGCCCTGAATGTTCCGACTGCCTTTAAGGTTTATGGAGCAGCAGTATTAACATTAAAAAATTAAATGAAATAAAATAAAACGAAAATTTTTTTTTCTAAAATTTGACATTTTTTTAAATGAAAATCATCCCCCCACACGCCATACAAAGTACAAAAGGATAGATTTCGCTCCGTGTAACAAATCAATTATGGCAAATAAGCTTCTTTCAACCAATTTGGAACGATTTTAAAACGGATTAATTCTCCGCTCACGCGTTAATAGTGCGAAATATATATCGCGCGTTAATTGTCCCAAATTGGTCAAATTGGTCAAAATGGCAATCTTTAAACCCTCATAACTTTCCGAAAAATGATCACAGGTGAAATATCTTTTCAAATTTAAGCTCAGGACAACAATACCTTTTGAATGATATAAAAAAATTCCGTCAAAAATGGCTAGTTAAAAAGTCGAAATTTGTCTGAAGAAAAAAAAAACCCACCCCGAGCACAAATATTCCGTTACTTTCGTATCGAAAGTCGGAACAATAAGCTCTATCGAAACGTTTACTTATTTAGCATATTCTTAGATCTTAAACATCCCACTTATTTTGTCGGCAAGTTCGCGTGAACTTACATTAGCAAAGACTTTTTTTACGAGGCCCTTGTTATTTTCGATTAAGATTAAAGCGTTTTTGTGGATGAGGTCATCAATTTAAATCATATTTTCCTAAAAATTAAGAGTGGTCTGGGCTTGTAATTTAAATTAAAAAGCAAGATTTGAGGAGAATTGGACTCTAATTTTTAGTTAGTACCGAAGAATTAGCAACCACTCGAGCAAAACCTGAAGTTACAATAAATTTTCCATATAATTCAAAGGGCAAAATACTATGATGTAAAGATAAGATGTTATTTAGGTTCGCTGAATTACAAGATTTAAAAACCGCAAAAACAGTCACCAACATCAAAAGATTAGCGGCAGTGGGGAATCCGGGACTCTGCCGCTACCAAATTTCGTGTCCTTGATTCCCCATTGTTACGAGAGTTAATAGTTTTGCACTGTAATGAAAAATAGAAGGCAACTCTCAGCTTAATTTGAGAGCAGGAGTGCTACAAAAGGTCAAACGAGTACCAACTGATGGACAACGCCAAGTACTTCATAGAGAAGGTGCGACAGCTGTCTAGTATGGCCTACATGCCCTCTACACAGGACATCATCAATGAGAGGTCCCAGACGAGGGCGCTGGTGGAGGTCATGATAGATGTGGACACCAGACAACACAGGGGCACCTTCAGAATCATCGATGTCGGAGGACAGAGGTCATAACTGCTACTTTTGTGGCTAAATTTACTCAGCCATATCAGAAACTTGAGTATTTTAGAGTTTTTTTGAAATTTCGATGTAGACAAACATTTGAGATACATATTCATATATCAGTTAAACTACAAATTCTACATCAGAAATGCTATGCGGGATATTAAATCCTTTTAGCAGCATCCTTCCAGGTTACCTAGAATTTAATGAACCACACTGAAAAATTGCTTCCTAAGAAAAAAGTTTGACCGATGTCGTGATCTACTTTTGAAAACCAAATTACATCCTCCAGAATTGTTCATAACAAAGTTTTGTTTGCTGAAGAGTTTTGATATGCTTACAGACTTAAAGCCTTTAGCTGAAGATTACAACAAAAAAATCATGTAAAGACATAAAATGACATTAAACACTAGATCGATAGAAATAAGTACAGGACAAGTTTATGGAAACTACTCATCGGACTTTTCGATTGCTAGAATACGTGCCAACAAATGGAGTGGTGTACCTAAAAACTTCAGAATGATAAAAAAGTAGTCAAAATATAAACTCGAAATTATTAAATATTTAGTACATTTAAATGAACAGGTACCAGTTAATAAAATTAATGTAGGTTTTAAATCATATATCCTGGTTGAGGTGATCAATTTATGTTTCGGTTTTCTCGACCAAAAATTGATAGGTTTCGACACCAAATTTTGGTATCTTTCGAATTTCTTGACCAAATTTTGGTCTGTTTCGACTTTCTCGACTAATTTTTTTTTCGAGCCAGTTCAAATTTGTAATCGATTTTTTTTCGAGCCAGTTCAAATATGTTTCGACCTTCTAGACCAAAAATTATTATGTTTCGACTTTCTCGACTGGCTCGACCGACATTTTTAGGCAGTTTGTTTGTTTGACCCTGCATAGATATGTTTCGACTTTCTCGACCAAAAATGGTAAGTCTCGACTGTCGCGACAACTAAAAAAAATTTTCGCTTTATTTTCGGCTTCGGTTGCCCCAAAAAATTAATTAAAAGGCTTTTTTTGGTTTCTCAATGGAAACACATCTCGTTTAATTTTTTTTTCAAATTTTGGACCCGAATATTTATTTTTGATATGACAATTTAGAGTTTTCAAAATCATCAAATAGCTCAGATGTTGAGACGATTTCTGTTGCGCTTTTACAAAATTTCTCTGGTGTTTGTTAATTTTTTTTGTTTGGTACAGTTTATTTCTGTAAACGGTACCAAATTTTTTTAAAAAAAATCTGCTCCACTAGTAGTTCGTCTGTGCTCGACGAATGTTTCGACTGAGCTCGACCTGTGTTTCGACTGTGCTCGATTTATGTTTCGATTGTACTCGACCTATGTTTCCACTGTGCTCGACCTATGGTTCGACTGTGCTCGACCTGTTGTAACTGTGCCCGACGTTTGTTTTGACCTTTCTCGACCTATGCTTTGACTGTACCCGACTTATGTTTTGACTTTCTTGACCAAAAATGGGTTATAATTTGACTGTGCTGACTACTAAATAACATGAGTAATTTGACAAACAATTATGTATGCTTTTTGGTTGATTTTTTGTGATGATGATTGATTTGAAAAAAAAACTATAAGAATCTGTAAATTGCAAATCTCTTCCATCGAAAACCTTTTTTTTTCAAGTTGAATCTCCTAATTT